TCCGCTTCAGTATATGCCGACGTCCTCGTTGCATACCACACATCCAATCTCTTTATGACTCCGCCCGCTAAGTCTGAGTCTTTACTCTCACTATAACACGCCTTGTTTTGCAATGCTACCCAACTACCTAGCCAGAATCCGTCTCACCTAGATAGGCGCACTCAAGCGACGAGGAGGTCAGGTTATTTGGTCCTGTTGCGCAACCTCTCGTCACTTCCTCAACCCTCATTTATCCTTGTCATGGGTCAAACATGGCGGTGATTCCACGACAAACTTTTAGCATAGTCATACATCATTTGTGAATCTTGTCATAGTTGGTGGCATCACAAATTTAACAGAAATTTCGTTATGTTTTATGCCACCATTTTTTGCTGCCGTCGACCGCGTGACCAATCAGGCAGCTCTTATGCTTGAACATTTCATTTTTTTTTCGGACAGTGTATCTTTTCTATTTAAACGTGCCGTTTCGGAAACATTCAGAAAATATTGGTAGAAGTCGTAAACCTGACTGACATTCTGGACTCTGTTTCAAGATAATCCTAATCAATAATTTTACTTCCGATGTATAAAATTTCGGCTAAGGTTGCAAAGGCTAACGAATAAGCTGGCATCTCTTAAAGTTTTCTTATATAAATCTTTTGTTTTTGAACTGGAGATTTTTTGGCGTTTTCGTAGGTCCAGTTGATTTGGAAGTCGCTAGATGCCTTGCACGAGTTCGCAGGCTCCTCGTAAATTCTTGCTGATTCCTCATCATAACTGATTCTAATAGAAAGCCACTAATCATGATCCCCAACTAGCATACGGAACAATTGGCAGCAATTCCCCGGTCGGGTGGGTCGCAATTTCGCGTCTTTTGCCATCCGCTGTATGATCGTAGAGGTATCATCATTCACTTGACCCTGTTTGTTCCTTTAAAATCACCACTCGGGGTCATTTTTTCATATTTCCTCATTCCATTCATATTATTCAGCTACCGATGGAGCCTTATTCATAATTTCTAAGGCCAGTGTTGCCTCTACACTTATTTGTAAAGTAGAGTTCCGTCTCGTTAAGGCATGATTTCAATACTACACATTTTTCCATGTGTAGTTGTAAGCAGTTTTCACAGAATACTTCAAACGACATGTTTGTATTAACCAAATAAAACATTCCTAAAATAACTAAGGCATATGGTTTTGACTTACAATGGGGTGGGAGTGGTGGGTGGTAGTGAAGAGATCTGGCTTCTGCCGCCAAAGAAGGTAAACCAAACAAAGCCAAACCTTTCGTCCTCCGGAATCAGAACTTTCCGAGTGAATGACTGAATCACTCTTACAGCAGTACTCACTATATAGTGGACACCAATTTTGAATATAAAATGTATACCTGTATCAAGATGACCGAGTAATAGACGAATGTTTTGATGTAAACGATTAAGCTCATGACATTGATCAGCTTCATTCACCGATTGAAATGTGATAATAACCTTTTAATACCGGCTAATACAATGCCTTTTCCATTTGTGATCGGATTTCTTAGTATACCAGTTAATGGAAAACGGGACACTGGAGGTGAAACGGTTTTGATTTTCAATAAGCAAAGCCGTGAAGCTGTTTATTAGACGGTTGAACGACCTTTACGGCAATCCGAATCATTGTCAGATCTCAGCCGAGATGAGAGTCCTATCTATCGTCCAACTTAAGAATGAAAATTTTCCAGTGTTTACAGTAGCAATGAGTATTTCATGAATCTGGAATAAAGGAAATATCACGAGATAAAGACCGTAGCTTAAGCGCTGTTTATTTCTGCAGATCTGATTAGTTTTTATACACGGACTTTATTTTTCTGAGTCGCCTGCTACAAAGGGTCTTGGCGATCCCTGGATTCGTATTGCATTAGCGCTTAAGCAGTGGTTCCTTGCTTTTACAGCGTACGATACTGTTGATGAATCTGTTATGGTATCGGTTACGATAGCCCACCTCGGGGTGGTGTATCGGATTACATCCGCTGACACGGAGCTTCGCTGCTCTTTTGCTTATTTTTCCTTGTCGATGACGTAACTGGAATAGTTTTGTTGAAAAGATATGCCATTCCTTTCATTTTCTGCTCTTCCTTTCAAGTCTCAGATTTATGTAGTTGAATTTCAGATATAAAATCCTTTTTAGAAAGTCTTATCATTTTTGAAACAAGTGCTGGTTTGTTCATCAGCATCTCTACGTTTTCTGGGTTCTTTAATAATTTTTTGGTTCTCCTTAAATCTTTTTTTTTCTTTTTCGATTTTTTTTCATTCTTTCTATCAACGTCATGCCATTATTGATGTGATTCTCATCATTACCACCACAAAATTGCTTTTTTCTCCGTAGCTCCAACGTTCAATACCATCGTACCTAAAGGCCTAATGTCAAGTGCCATTAGCGCCAACGATTTGCTTAAGGCGTCGCTCTTCTGGGACCTTGGCTATGACCTCATAGCATCAGCGCCATCAGCTAATATCTTGTTTAGTCGTCTGACTGAGCCGCTCTTTTTGCTGAATGCATAGTTGGAATTTCGTCTCAAGAACTGCTTGACAAAGGATTTTCTATGAGTAAAATTCCTTAATTTAGTATAATAGCTTCTTTTTTCCACTAAATTTCCTTGATTTGTCGGATAATGTGACGTCGGCATCATTGGAATCATCTATTGTCGATGTAAAACACTATGAAATCTAGGGGCCAGCACTCATTTACCTTATTATACCAATAATAAGTGAGTGCTAGTTAGCGAAGAGAAGCCAGTGGTTTTTCCGTGAAGCCCTCATCATACACACAAGAGCTCATAAGATTGCATGAGAGACCCAAGGAATAAGGAAAGAAATGTTCGGCGTTGATCAATCCCTTAGGGACATGTCTCCATGCGTGCGACTTCATTACGCATCAATGGAATGCGTATTTGGTCTATGCAATGACTTACGGGGCCTATCGATGTATCAATTCGGTGCTGCTAACCTCCCAGACGAGTGTGCTACCAATTTGCCAAAGCCGGAGGGATGGAGCGCTCAGCTCGATTTGCCCAAGACGCGAACCAAACCAATGGCAGAGGAGTCCAAGGTTAATTTTAATTTCACAAATCCCATCAACAACACCTTAATCGGCCCAGTTTTCATCGGATGCAATGGAGACGTAAGTGCTTTCGTTTGGGATGGATGGGACATATAGGGACAAAGGTGGAATACAAGTTTATAAAATTTAGAATTCCTATAAGAGCTCGTAAAAGTTTCACATTCTCGTTTTTTCCTTCAGTCATAGTGCAGTGAATAGATAGGATGATAGGAATGTCAAAAAAAAGTCTTCAGCGCAGTTTAAAATCTGGTTGATGTCGTACGTTTTCGCGTATTTCTCTTGCAATAATGTTTTCCATAGACTTTATATAATGATAGAATAGTCCAAATTTGTGAACTACCACAAATTAGTCAAAATCCTATAGGTCCATGGTGACATGTTCTTTTTTGAGAGCCTGAAATTCTGGCCCTGTGCTGAGATTTCGTGTTTGCTTGTTATTCTTTGAGGTGCTCCTTTATGGTAGCCATCGTGCCGACATTTTTATGGTTCACCTTCGGAATTTACATGCGGCTAGGATCTAAGCCATGCCGCCCAATCAACAGTCGTGGACCTCACTCGTACATAAAACAGTTCCCCTAACGGATATTAGGAAAATTCTCCTATGTCGTTCTGGTGGCTCAGCATTAATTCTAAATTGTGAAGTTGTCGTAAAGAATTATAAAGTGGTTGAGACTAGCGAAGTTTCGATACTGAGCCCAAATGAACACAATGCCGTTTTCCCCTATAGAGAAATTCTCAAATGATTTTCAATCTTATCCAAAGAGAATTCTTCTCTGATATTTGTAGGTTACGTATTCAATAAGGCGAAAAGAGTATGATAGAAATTCTTCCTGTCAAGGAGCCGTTGTTTCTTTCGGTTCCGACAGCTTGATTAAAATCTGATTATAATGATGGTCAGTTTCTTCACGTACTTTGTTTTCGTAAAACCGTAGTCTGTTCAAATCAAAATGCACTGGAAAATTCTTGAATGCAGAAAATTCTGATCTACTTGTTTTGTTCTTCTGGATTTTTACTGCACGTGTTCTCCAGTCGAATTCCTACGTATCTCGTTTATTTGCAATCTCAGTTCTTGAAAAGCACCTACGATGTCACTAAAAATGGTTTTGAAGAGTCACTTGATGAAAGAGTTTTGATGAAAATGAGGTTTTTTATCCGACCGTTACTCTTGTGAGACGTCTTCGCTCTGCTCTTCGGCGCCATTCTTTTATGATTTATGAGCCCTTAGAGCGACACATTTTCATTGTTCGTCAGGCGTTTTTCCTTTTTCTTTAGTTGAAACTTTCCTTCTTTTTCACTCTCTTTATCAGTATCGCCTTCACTTTTTCGCATTTCATTCCTCGTCGTCATCGTGCTTTTTTTTTCGTTATTTGTTCGTTCGTTCGTTCGTTCATTCCGTAGAAATTTCGCTTCTTTACCCACAAATGTGAAGTCGTCGTGTGCGTCTTCGCGGCGGGCTAAATTTGATGGCCGGCACGCTTCGTGGTTCGTAGAAAAGTCGCGTCTTTCAATGCGCTCGATTCGAATTCGTCAAGGTCATAGCGCTCGTTTAAACTTCCATCTACGTACCGCTAAGATTCGCAGGCCCTCGCCTTTTCGAGGTACTGTAGAGCGCGCGACGGGCCGCGCGGCCGGACGACACCGCGGTGCGAGTTTTGGCGTGGTCAGCGCGCAGACGGCGAGGGTACGAATGTGGGCAGAGACGCAGCGTTGGCAGGCGGCCGCCACTGCCGGCCACACAAACGCACAAAGCGCTCAATGAACGTCGCTATCATTAGAAGGTGGTGGTGGTGGACGATCTTGTGACGCAAGCAGCATCGAGTGAACAACCGCAACAACGACAGCGACGACGACGACGACGACAACGACGACCACGTCTTCTGAATCCAGTCGAGACTGTGCGCACTTTGAGTCGCCGCGGAGATCATGGCGGACGAGGGCGCCGATGAGGTGAAAGTGTTTCGACGAACCGACGCCGAAGACCTCGAGACGAACGCTCAATCGAGTCACCAATTGGCCGAGGATAAAAAAGACGTCGTCCTCGAAACCGAGCTTGAATCCAGACCCAACGGTGACCCGTTGATAGGTAAGATCTTTTTTCACGTGTTCCTAGCCCATTTTTATTTGCCGTTATTCGTTTCTTTGTTGTTGAACCGAAATTTCGGCATTCTTTTGCTCGTAAAATATGCTCCAATATTTTCATCCTATTCAAATCTGGTTTTTTGGCTTTACATCAACTCTTCAGTATCGAATTGTACAGGGTGCTAAGTTACTTCTTCAGAAGTTACTGGTCTGACATTCCATATTGATCCATGAAATCGATCCAGAGCAGAGAATGTGCACACTCATCGCTTCGATTATTCGCTTTGGCGTTCGTATTTCTTAGAAAGAAAGTATTTACTTCAGAGGGCGATCTTGTACGTTATGTTTTAAGCGAACAGTTTGCCTTAGAAATTGTGTTGATCGAACTGAATGGAGTGTGGTTTTTCGAAGTTGTCGGTCGACTCCTGGTCATAAATCTGTTCCGCTAAAGTGCTCCATCCGTGTTTTCGATCCTGATTGAATTTCCTCATTGAGTTCGAGCGACTACCGTCGTTCTTCGATCGTTTTTATCGATAATTCGCGTTCGTTTCACGGTGTTCGCTTTCAAGTGGCTTCGTTTTTCGCGTTGCTCAGTGGGAATCGTTCGACCTTGTCGATGGTGTGGTGTAGTGTGTGTAGGGTCGCTTAAACACACTGTTCTTATCATTCGAAGATTCCCAAGTCTTTTATCGATCCACTACACCTCCCCACTCTGGTGATACGACGTTCGTTTTCCCCATCAAAGCGATGCCGAGTCGTCTTCGTTGTTGTCTCGATTTCTCGAGCATCGATCGATTCGAAACAATAGACAAGACAGCTTCCAGACATTTTTTTCATAGAGTCCTGAATCACAACTGTCAACTAACATTATTTGCATGCTGATTTGGAAGTGATTTTAATAAGTAGTTGATCAATCGCTCGAAGTCCAACCACTAAAAATCGGTATGGCATTGTGATGTAAGTGGTACTTTTTTTGTATGATTTAACAACGTACAAAGGTGTTGTGAAGGAGATGAAAAGCATTTAGTGAGAAGCTGTTACGAATAATATATCCAAAGAAAGTCTCGACCAGGTTTTGCGTTATGTCAGTGAAACTGCTGGTTTTTGTTTTAAAGTGGACCTGCTGTACTGGGGTAGTGTTATCTTATCTTATAGATGTTGATAGGTAGGACCTAATCCAAAAAGCAATACAATCATATAAGCACTTGGGTGTTCAGAAGTGCAGGAGTGAGGAGTGTGTGGAATGTGAGTCTGTCCGCATCAAAGTGACGTCGGTCGGGGAACGAAAGGTCCTCATTTATGAGTGCCATTTGGGTGGTGTGCTCTGGGGTTATAACAACCAACAACACCTGCCTGATGTGCTACACTTATCCTCAAAGGGATCTAAAAGCATTCATCAATGTGATGAGAGAATCGCGAACGATAGGACTGATTGAATTGCGGATTGATGTCGTCGCTCCGCACAGGCAACTGCATGGAATTCTCCTTGCGCAGGAAAATGTGAGCGCTGTGTAAAGATTTCTGGATACGTCGCGTCTTACACTCGAGAGTAACAAGAGTAACTTTTGGACCGTTTTGCCTAGTTGCCGTTTTTTTTTTAATTTACATGTTGTATTCCTTACTGACCACATGTACGTTACATAGCGTCAGACTTTAGGTATACTTATATGGAGAGGAAAGAAACTATAGAAAGGTTATATATTTGTTAGTCCTTAGTAGGATGTCGGCCGGCTTAAATAACCATAATTATCGTTGGAAACTACAGTAGGTTTTTCAGTCTGAGATCCGATCCACATTAAATCAATTTCCATATAGCTTTACGGTTGTAAATTTGTTATTTTTGCTCTTATGAAGTGTTTTTATGAGCTGGTACGAGATTGCTAACAAGTGTTTTGGTTCCAAGTTGTCCCCACATCAGCGATTGTCACAGATCACCATGGACCAGTCCTTCTTAGCTATTCGAGCATTCTATGTCAGTTAGTTCGAACCTGCCGATACAGCCGTCTCTGTATAGAACACAGAATTGTACGATTTCCTGTAATGGAAAACACCGGAGCTCTGAATAACTTCAGTTGTAACATAACTGAACTCTTGTTGGACGTGCAGTAATGAACACATTGGCAAGACGGGTAAACTTCATTATGTCTCCTAAAAGGCACGTAGATGTTGAACACAGAACCCGGCAAAGTATTTCACTGGTTCTGTATAGGACATAGAACTGTAAGTGATGATTCTGAAATTAATGTCACCATCTTAGCGCAAGAATCAGGAACATCAGCGTGTAGAAACTCTTGAGGTGCTTTAAAAGAGTTTTAGAAATACAAAAATGAATCGAAAGTACGACTATCTTACTAACACAGAGACTTCCAACTGTTTTGAACGAGTGCGCTTGATTTATCTATGTGATCTCTGAGAGTAGAGGAGACACCACCCTGTGGTGTCACTACGAAAAAATGTATACCGAAGAATGTCGAGTGCTTTTTGTTAACAGATTGGATTTCTATACAAACTCTTAATGGAGTTTGTTGGTTATTCACTGAATAAGGGTGTAGAACTGAGTGTGCTTATCAAGGCTCTAATAAATGCGATATCGCTTTACCACATATTGAGGGCCAAAATACTTGCCAATACTGTATCGCGTCAGGTCATTAAGAACAGCTCGTAAGAACAAAAAACTAGTTTCTTAGTAGTTTCTTAGTGGCTAGGTCTGTCATCCAATCACCGATAATTAAATGTTGAGGTATTTAAAAAAAACATGCCAAACATAATTGGGAAAGACATACAAGTACGTCAACTTTAATTAGTGAGACCAGACATTGTCAGAGCCACCACTTCTATCATTTCGAGGAAGAAAGGCCATTAGGTTACAAAATGAGGGTTGTTTGAATATTTTGCTAATCCTAATTCGATAGAAAAAATCGCGTGAATCTTGTACAATGACCTGCTATTCTTCGAATTTTCGAGTTACTCAGAGCTTTAGTTCCTTGCCAGGATTTCTCTCGCCCTCCCTCTTTCTCTCTCTCTCTCTCCTTCTCTTCTTCTCTTTATCTCTCTCTCTTTTGGCTGTTCGTTGGTTTTTTTTCGGTACAAAGTTTTTCCCTATTATTTTCAATTCGTATGTTATCATTCTCCTACTTTGCGTTGCTTGAGAATGATATTGCTTCAGTTGCTACAACGTCTTTCTTCAACAGGGCTACGGTTCCATTAGAAAGGGTCTTTTATGGTATGACGACGGCCTCTGAATACACGAGCGGCACATGCTATTGTTCAAATGTTGTGCTCTTTTGTTTTCGCTTTAACGGGTCAGATAGCTCCACTGCTGTGATCGGTTTAGGTAGAAGTCCTATAAGGACGTCTTGACTCTTGAAAGAACGGGTCCGGTAAGGGGCATTTGTTTGCTCTGAGATTTTTCCATAACATTGTTTGATATCTTCAATATTGCATTGATCGTGATGAGAGGTAACGAAATCACAAAGGTCATATAATGGGTCTTGGAACGAGGAATGCTACAGGTCAGAATCGTCGGAGGTATTGATTTGAATTTGAGTGTGATGACGGGGCAATTCATAGCCAGAGAGCTCATTTATCGACGGTAATCTCAGAATTACGACACTAATGTTGTGTATCATATCTTCGTCAGTTGTTACTATTGAATGGACGTTTGGCATTAACAGCAGCATGGAAAGGAAGTGAGGAATATCTAAAGTGTTCCTTCTATTCGGAGTGTAAAGCACAAGAATTTTAACGCGTCCAAGAGCTCATGTGGTTCGTATAATATATCTGGAAATAGATGTTTTTATACGTAAGGGAAAACAAGTTCCGTTGGCGATATCCCATTTTAAAAACAGAGATGTGGCGGAAAAACCTTGTACTGTCATGTTTATACGATTTTCGGTACCGATTGTTAAGCAGATTTTTGGCAGTTAAGTGGTTAATTAGGGACGACTCAATCAGGTATTGTATTTAAATGTCCCGTTTTAGGCATGTCACATATTCCATATTTTGGACATTGCATCTGCTGTTTCTTAGGAGAGAATTAGGCGAAATACAACCACAACGTTGCTGAGATATTTGCAAAACTCTGGACCGCAGGTGTCTATGGTGGGGAACGAACGCGCTATTGTCCTTTCCGGAGAGTAACGCGTTCACCACCACACCATGCGAGTCCTTCGTTTCGCCTGTCTCTCAGCTATTTCTATCGATCTTTTTGCCACAGCAATCACCCGTCAGCGTGGTTGATCTGGGGAGCGCAAATCGGCATAGAACCCAGTTAAGCTATGGCTGTAGCTGAAATCACAATGTTTAACGTTTTGTTTTCTGCCTTCTATAATTTTCAGAAAAAACGTTTTTAAGGCAAAAAACAAAACGTTAAACATTGTGATTTCAACTATAGCCATAGCTTAACTGGGTTCTATGCCGATTTGCGCTCCCCAGATCAACCCCGCTGACGGGTGATTGCTGTGGCAAAAAGATCAATAGAAATAGCTGAGAGACAGGCGAAACGAAGGACCCGCATGGTATGGTGGTGAACGCGTTACTCCGCGGAAAGGACAATAGCGCGTTCGTTCCCCACCATAGACACGTGCGGTCCAGAGTTTTGCAAATATCTCAGCAACGTTGTGGTTGTATTTCGCTTAGTAACCTGCCATGAAAATTATAGAAGGCAGAAAACAAAACGTTAAACAGAGAGAATTAGGCTTCAGCTTAAGCAAAAACGCTGTTGTTATTGTGAGAATTTTGTTTGAAAATACACACGAGACGAAAGATTTCATTTCTAAGTGCATCGTTTTTCTCGCCCGATATTCTCCTGCTTTTTTGGTCGATCGTTATTTATTCCGTTCTTGATTAATGTTTTGATAAGGCCGCAACGTGTGGGGAGTCAGAGATTTTCGGCTAAACTGATGGTATCTGCTGATCAACTATCATTGAAATCTTAACGCAAATGAGAGAAGAGAATGACGCCCGAGTTCTTCTATAAATTTTACGAAGTTCTATAAATTCTCCCATCGTCAAATGGTAGTTTCCAGTTTTTTAGCTAGCAAAAATCATGGAGCTGTTTTCTGTTTTCTCGAAAATAGAGTGCTTAGATGCGAACGCAGATATCAGTTTCAAGTGGTTCTTGGACCACTCCTTACCGCTCTATTGACACGGATGGGTTCAGCACTTCACCCGAATCACCGCTAACTGCTTGCTTTCGGCGAGCTCTGGAGTGTTTATACTCGCTCTGTTGAAAGTGTGTGCGTATCGCTGTCAGTTGCTCGCGGAGCATGTTTGCCTACTAATGCGGTTTTAATGAGAAGAATCACAAGAGCGACTGTGCACCACTCCATCCCATCGACAGGATGAAGACCTATTAGCGAGATCAGAGTGAGAACGCCTCCTGTCTGTGAACTTGACGGCACAATTCCCTAAGTGCTTTTAAGAGTTCTGTCACAGAGTGATTGATTGATTCGATGAGAATCGAACCTGTTATCTAGTATTGGTGGGATGTTGTTACATTAGACAGTGGTTCGACGATTTCGTTGCGTAGAGGTTCCGAAGATGGTATCGACTTGTTAAAAATATTCCCTTTCTGTCGCCTGAAGTGGGATTAAAACAAACTTTGTAAAGCTGCAAAATTGTTTTACTTTCATGCTAAATGATCGTGCTGGTCACAGACTGAACGAATCCATTTTGATTTTTGTCAAAAAAAATTTCTACGAACGCATCAAAACAGTATGACGTATTGCAGTATAAAATGGGATTGATGTAGAGTCAATATATTCTCAAATTTTTATGTTGTAAGATATCTACTTCGATGAATGCAAGTGAAAGTAGAGGGTCATAGAGGTTGCTTGGTTGGCTGGTTATTACATTAACAAAGGTGACATGACAGAAATGATGATGGCAATAACTGCCCTACAAGTGGTTTTTTGAAGAATTTTCCATTTTTAAATCGTTTAAACATTGGTATCAACGCATGCTACTGTTTTTATTTAAAAAGTCTCTTTCATTTTTCATATTTTCAGGTTCGAAGACTGGAGCATTTGTGAAACCTATTCCATCGCCAAGTTTTGCGAATTTAGCTAATCTTCAGAATGCTACCGCGTACAGTCCAAGCTTCGGGTTACCGTTTATGATGCCATGGATTATGGGGGTAAGACATTTTTCATCAAACTGTCATTGCTCAAAGCAGCAGTAATGTAGGCAGTTGTCATATTTTAGCAGCGGTTACGCTGTATATGTGGATTATTGGCTTATTTTAGCGTCATTTGCGTCGCAGATTCCGATGAGGGCATTGTGTTATGTGGTAACTTACCTTCGAAAACGGCACTGTTACGCATTTGTCATTCTCTTTCGTCACATTCTACTAATAACGATTGCTGTTGTTATAAATGCACAGCAGGTTTTCACGACTTAGTATAGTGACACTGCACTTATTTAAGTGTCCATCGGAATAAAATGGGATCAACGAGCTCGAATTTAGACAAACTTAATCATCCGCATCCGTGAAGGAACTCTGTTTTCTCTCTATGCCCATACTGCTTTAATTACATATGTCAAGAAGTCATGAACACGGTTCGCTTCCGTCTTGCTTTGCTTCAACTTGACTTCACAACAGTTGCATCCCAATTTGTCCGAAGTTTATCGACATGCTCGCCGAGTGCCTCGTCGAACCACAACGACTTGGTGGATTTCGTAGGGGACCACCGACCGCTAAGGGTACGGTAACGACGGGGTGCTGATACACGCGTGGCGGCGTTTCACAGCGGGGAGCGCTTTCTAATTGCGCGTCGTCTCTTTCTCTAGTACGAAATAACCGTGGTGTTCATGTGTTATTACGAGAAAAGGAGGTACGGTCAGTTGTGTCGAAGGCAATAATTTCTTTTTAACCGGATGTGGGCGCTGAAGTTGAAAGACCCAGCAGAAGTTTGACTGTGTTGCTAGTGAAAGCAAATATGTAAGTTTCGAATGCGGAAGTCCGGGTCTGAATCGCTGGAACGCATTATTCAATGGGTCCGTATCGATAGACTGCACACAAGAGCAAAATTTCATTTGGGTCAACTCCTGTCACTGTAATTATCGTCACTGTCATTATCGTCACTGTCACAAATTAGCCCACTCGTTCAACGTCTGTAGCTAAGAATTTCTGAAATATCCTCCTGCACTGGACATGTATTAACAGGTGACCACAGTGTGTTTTTTATGTGGGTTCACATGTTATTGTACTACTGTGGACATATTTAATTGCCTGAATAACTGATATTCACAGCAATCGGTGCATAACGTCGCATTCCATTGAGCTGGCTTGTTCGTTTGGAAAGATTTCTTCGCCTTGTGCTGACAAACCTATGAATCCGCTTTCATAGCCAAGCTTTGTGGAGCTTAGTAAATTGGAATTATTTTCTTGGTTGGGATATTGGACGAGCCACGATGAGATCGCAAGCGACTCATGTATGTATGTACGTATATGTATATACATACATGTATACATACATACACATATACATATCAGGAAGCAAGGCACTGGTTCGATCTCCCAAATGGTCTTCTCCAACCCACGTAAGAACTCACTAACTCGGCCACCTCCAAGATTGCAAAGACAATGGGCTTGACCACCTTTCTACGACATTCATAAAGAAGACGAAATCCTCAAGCAGCAGCCGAAACAACACGCTCAATGTTCGGTTGCGGTTGTCTTTTTGGACAATGAATGCGAGGAAACGAATTGAATGCAAGAAGTGCTGGGATCTGCACAGTATGTGACGACGGACCATGTAAAATAAATTTTAAAAAATTTTAAAAAATTAAAATTTGTGGTTTATTAGTATGACCAAACTTTGTACATTCTGTGGAGCCCGACATTTTTTTAGTCGGTTAGTTGAATGTCTCGCCGCATCTTTTATCCATGAAAATCTTTGGACTTGTGTGCTTGTAATGATTTGGTTGCCACTTGAGGATTCTATCTTCCTAATGAATGTCGTTAAATGGTGATTAAGCAAATTCTCCCTAGAATCCTCGTATAGCTGTGGTGAAACATTTTCAGATCATATCGTGGGCTGCATCCTGCTTTTGTGCATCAAAGGGGGCCTTTATCAATGAGGTCTGATATTGATTTGCCATCCTGAGCTAATGAAAGCTTGTATGGCGCGGATCTATTAATGCGTCGCGAGACATTGGCTCTGCCCATACTTGCAATTTTTACTTCACCTATTAATTATGGTGATATATGTCCAAAATTCACGCAGGAGGTCTAGAATTCATCGCAACATTGTTTTTAATTGATGTTAACTTTGGCATGGTGTGGCCCACAAGGTTTCTAAGTGACTTGTTTAACAGAAGAAATTTATTCCAGCAGCGTCCACAAAAATAAATACATAAATTCCACAAAAATACGTAGTTAGCGCATAGAGTTTTTTAGATATTTTACGGGAACGTAAACGAAATGTAGTGTGATCTTTTCAATATTGGGTTGTATACCGACTTGTATTTTTTGTTTCTTCCGCACAATGTTATTCTTTCTTGTCAGATTTTAAAGATGACAGTTAGGCTTGATGTTTTACATAGTGACGAAAATTTAAATTTTATTTTTATAAATTTTATTTATTAAATTTTATTATTTTTATTATTTAAATAAATTTAATTTAAATTTAAAGTAAATTTATTAAAATTATTGGATGGATTCTTCTTAGCTTCAAAACGAAGTGTCTTATCTTTCTTTTGGATAAGAGTTCACATTCTGTACAGACGATAGATGATAAAGCATAAAAGGATAAAACTCTTGGTGTCGGTCAATCTTTGAGGGATGCGCCACTTATTCGATTTCATCAAGCACCGTTAGAAGTGATTGAATGCATATCTGGCCTGTACTATGAGTGACTCGTAGTGGCTTACCAATGTATAGAGCCAGTGCTGCTTTCCTCCTAGAGTGGTCTGGTAACAATTTGTCGATACCGGAGAGATGGAAGGCTTGATGAGCATGAGCTGCGTAGTAGAACCTATGTGCATTGCGGAGCACTTCTAACCATTGCGCCACACCCACCTCTCCACCATAGTTCGTACCGATCTTATTTTCACGGTAATGAACTGAGCATTTCAGCTCGAATACTGCCTGTTAAACAAATGTCGTTTATTCGAGTTAATTTCAGCAACCGTACGGTATGGGTATGAGGGCGCCAATGTCGCCGTCGTTTGTTCCATGTGTGATGCCGACGGCATTAAGTCCACATAATGTCGAAATGTATCGTCAAATGATGATGATGAATGGTCCATGCAGTCCCCTATACGGTAGTATGGCGGCTGCCGGAATGAAAATGGATGTGCCGCTCGCGGCTAGCATGAGAACGTCGAATCCTCTTAATCAAGTGCGTTCCTTTTCTCTTCCTTTTTTTATCCCATCCGATTAATATGTGCTGTACACGTCGTTTGCCTTCAGATGAATCAAATGCGCTTACCATTTGTCGGTTCGCCGATCACATCTATGGCTAACAATATGACAAACGATGGTTTGCGACGAACACGTGATGGAAAAGTTAAAAAAGTAAGTTTTTTTTATTCATTTCAGCAGGTGGGGAGGAAATTTAATAACAATTTTCTAGGATTTTCTCTAAATTTTGCGACTATTCTAGGAGGACCACATCAAAAAGCCGCTTAATGCTTTCATGTGGTTCATGAAAGAAAATCGACCAAAACTGATGGAAGAACTGGGCTATAAAGAGAAACAGAGTGCAGAGCTTAACAAAGAGCTGGGAAAACGATGGCACGATCTACCTAAAGAAGAGCAACAGAAGTATCATTTTATGGATTCATCGGAATTAGATGTTCTTCGTTGTTCTTTAATCTCGAAATGTTCGGTTACTAACTACTAGGTTGGTTAGTATGGAAACTGAATGCGTCGTCCCAATGCCTTTTGTCTGCTTTTTCACCTCGTTTTCACTATTCGTGTTGTAACAGTTCCTAGGATCGACTTTCTATTAACCTCGGCATTGGATTGTATACACGTCGTTTTCTTTTTCGGCGATCACGAGGTTGTTATTCAACATACATTTGCTTCAATACAATAACACACACACAGCACAACCATAGCTGACGTTTCGGCAAAACCGCCTTCTTCAGAGCCGCCTTTTTTCACCTGTCTTCCACCGAGTAAGAACAGCCGCTCAGAGTCACATATGGTTAACGAAGACCTCGGTGGAAGACAGGTGAAAAAAGCGGCTCTGAAGAAGGCGGTTTTGCCGAAACGTCAGCTATGGTTGTGCTGTGTGTGTGTTATTGTATTGAAGTAAACGTGTGCTGAATAACAACCTCGCGATTGCTGAAAAAGAAAACGACATATTCATGTTGCGTTTTCTGTGGATTTTATCCTTACGAGTTAAACAATAGAGCAAGTGATGCAGTTAGTGCTAAGGAGGTTAACACATCATTTGGTCGAACTTCATTGGTGAAGATATCACCAAGTAAACCAAATTCCCGTACTAACTTCATGAAATTTCTGATAATTTGTGTAGCTAAATGGGGCAAATATAGGACAAGGGATTGAAGGTTCAGTCCGAAATCATCCAATGAGAAGTTTTTTTGTGCCTGCTAACTTAATAGATTTATAACTAGAGTGTAGTTAAAAAGCGTCTCTACCGTTCGTTCTGGTACTGAAGTTTTTCTCTGACTAGGTACTTTGACATGGCTCGTGCCGATCGTGAACAACACAAAGCGAAATATCCAGGCTGGTCCGCTCGTGAAAACTATGCAGTTCATAAACGAAAAAAGAAAAGGCGAGACAAAAGCGAAGGTTAGTTCTGTGCTTTATTTAAAGTTGGCATTTCTTAGATTTTGGTGAATTTAACTTTCTAGTTTTTCTAGCACAATATCCCTTTTATCTCGTATTCTACGGGTACTTAACGGTGAGTGATATCGGATTATCCAGTACCGGACGTCTAACATCCAGTCAGCAAGCAATCCGCTCTGTTAAGTGCCTAATTGTGTGCTCTTGTTGAAAAATATATTAGCACCGTACAGTACGCCTGAGAGTTCCTCAAAGCAAAACAAACATTGCTTGAGGTACGGTAATTCCGACATAGGCGTCCAAATATTGCTAGTTAAGTGTAGTCGTGCTCGTTCACACACAGCATAGTGAAATGCGAAGAAAAACCTCTAGAGATATATTTCCTTAGACACCTTGCCAATATATCACATGCTGTCTCTGTTCTCTTTTTCTTTTTTCTGAGAGGTTTAGAGAGTAATATCGTCAGAAACGACTGTCTTGTTTTTCTGCTCACCGAAATAATGTGCATGAGGGCGAGTGGCTAGCTCCTCATACTGATAAGCTAAATTTTACCGTTTTCACAGTTAAAAGATGATGGCTGGAGTTGTGCTACAGAATACGTTTCGATTAAATGATCAGCTTCCAATAAAATGGATTAAATTGACTTTCTTCTTCTGATCTGATGAAAGTTGGCTCATCAATACCAAGGTGTGAAATTTACGTCAGATAATTGCATAGGGTGTTGCCATCACTCGAATTTCATGAGCTGATTTATGGGTAGTGGTAATGATTTGAAATTCAAGCCCCGAACAAAAACTTCTCTAAATCGTAGGATTATAAAATCCCTACTTCGTTTCATGTGCTGCTCCATGAAATTTTCTGTACGAGTGCATTGTGTATAAGTGAAAAAGGTTTTTATCTTGGAAACGAAAGACAAGTAAAAATGAATAAAAAAAGATAAACCAAGCACTTTTTTGGACCTTTTTACTCTTCATCTGATCAGGAAGGATTTCAGATGTCACCGATATGAAGAAGTGTCGTGCTCGATTTGGAATCGCCAACACTGATCAATGGTGCAAATTCTGTAAACGTAAGAAAAAATGCATGTATTCTTCGTATGATCCTACCGACACACTTTCTGAGGAGCATGGTGATCGAAGTGAGTTCTGAAGTGTCTTTCTTCGAAATAATTACTACTCTTTCACTTGTTTTCGTATAAAACACTGTTTTCTTGATGAGCAGACACGAGATGGATATCAGTAGGGTAATATTTGATGGAATACTGGCTGACGTGTCGTTGCTTCTTTATGCTGAATGCAGTTCGCTTATATTATACTACTTCGTAGGCTACTAATCTTAACGCCGTAACTGGTGAATAGACCATGCATTATTTCGTTAATTTTGAATTCATAATGTTGTTTAAACTTTTTTTCAAAACTTCGTTACGTTACGAAACCAATTCCAGCTTCATCAGGACCCTCACCATTGACATCGTCGCTTGGTCCGTCTCCTTTAGGAGGAGTCGCTGATCATGATGCTTCTGATTCCGAGTCAGAAGTCGATGAAGAAGACCGTACTCTTGTCGACATGGACATTCAAGAAGCGGCTATGCAACAACAGGCAATCACACGAGACAACGAACTGGCAGCTTTCTAGAGGCCAGAAGCCATCAATAGATCCTGCATTAATTTTCGTAAATGTGGGTTAAGAACCATTGTCCGTATGAATTGGCATTGGAAGAAAATCTTGCGATTAGTTTTCCATCAGAAATTACGGGAACGTCCACACATACGGAATTTTAAGCGTGGATTGCATTAACTGGACTGTTATCCATTTCTAAATCATGCTAAGGAATTCCATAGCCAATGTCAAGGAATTCTATGGTTCTTGTCGTTGTATATGAGATAACAAAAGTCGTCTTGACTACCATTTCTGACAAGAGCGTCTTTTATCAGATTTGCTCTGATTTCAGTGAATAGTCGTTTTCACTTGTACTTTTGAATGAATTGATCTTCTCGTTAATATTATAATATGGTAATATCCTTCCATTGAAAGGTGATGTGTATTGTGCTGCATTTCTTCCATTCGGGTCTCGTTGTTCATCTACTCATGTTGTTTACTGCCCTTTTTCCATCTTATTTTCTCATTCTTGCTTTTGATTAAGCAGTCATTATCAGTGACTGTTCGCTCACCTACGCATGGTTTGTCGGGTTCTAGCTGTTCTCTTCTGTTCTCGTTTCTTCTCTAATACCGTTGCTAATCAACAGTTGCCAGTTCAAATTGACAGGTTTTTTCCATTGTCAGGAAGATCGTGAACATCACCATAGACGTCCGATCCCTCTGTCAGTACAGGGTCACAACTACACAGCCCTTCTTTCACTCAGTCGTTTCTAAAGCATCTCATTTTTCTTCTGTTTTACTTGCTGTCTTGTTCCTGTGAAATTCTTTTTGTATCTATCCATATATTCTTAATATGTTGGTGTTTTCTGACGATAATTAGTTTATAACGTAGTAGTAAGTAGCTGAGGTCTGATAAATAAGGCCTCATTGCTCTTTATGAGATTACTACCCACCTTTCCTAACCTCTTCAGTTAAGGCTCACTTCTGTTCATGTGTTTGTTCAATTCGTTTGTTCCACCTAGCATTTAGTTTTCGAGTAAGTCGAGTATGTGCAATTTCATCGAAAGGTTGTTACTGAGAACGCCACGTAAAGTACAGCTATATGTGTTGATTCTTGTTTTATTGTTGTACATACTATGTCCTTTAGGACTTCAATGTTTATGGACGAAGTAGGCCATAAATGTGCTCTTATTATTTACAAATAATAAAAATTGAGTACATAAGTCGACGTTTCAAGGTAGAAGTCAACATTAAATATGTCCAATAAACTACAGCAGCAAAGAAGTACTAGATGACAGCTGGCTGACATTATTTCATTGTTGGAGGTGGGGTTTTTTATTGAGAAATATCCCGTAGTTTTAAACAGAACATCAATGTAGAGTTATTCTGCAAGACAATAGCTGCTGTATGTTTCCTCTAGCTTAATATGATTATTTTTGAGGAAATGAGCTTGTAATAAAGCGTATTCTTGAGCTGACCTTCGTTTTTCGCTATGATAAGGTCAACGTGACATTAGAAAGTCAATGGGGTAGTGAACGTGTAATTTTTCCTTGCAGTTTTCTCTATTTTTGTTGATACTGTGCTCAGGTAAGTTCCTGAATCACTTTGGATTAATTTTAATAGATTACAGACAGTTACAATGACTCTTCTTTCGGAATCGTTCCTTCTGAGATCAGACAAGTACGAATTCACCCGCGCACAGCACCGAACAAATCGTGATGCTATGTCGCATTGGGCGGTAGCTGTACAGAACTTTTAATAAACTAAAGTGATTGCCAAGACCGACTTTTCACTAACCTGTTGGTCAGGTAATTCACCGCATTCTTGATGAGCAGGCAAAAGTAGCTGAGGACAAGATGTTACATCATTCTTTATTGATGAAGAAGGTGACGTCTCGGCTGATTTCGCCTTCTTCAGAGCTTGGAAAGGTCGAGTTGACTGCTATCTACCCAGTCAAATACGCGTTCATAACCGAAACGGAGAAACACTATACCAAGATTTCAAGTGCACAGAAAATAAAACAGCTTCTTCGCACATTTACCGCTTTCTATGAGTCTTCCATTAAGATTTTCACTTGGAGACCCATCGCACGGAGTTCATATGGGTAGGTAATATGCCTCTATCATATTAAAATAACAGGCTTAAATACTCTATGAGATCAAGCATGATAGCAAGGTATTCCTCCTTGCAGTTCATTTCTGGATTTTTGGAATTTATCCAAAACGCTTCAAGAGTTTTACGCACTCACGTTTAGGGTTCCGTGCAATGATAGTGAATTTTAGTTCAAAATCATCTTCGTTATATCTGTGTCCCATGCTCGCCTGGTGAAGCATTTGGGTCAACTTTAAATTTATCAACTACATGTTCTTTTATACAGATGCAGAGTGGTCTACCGGTTTCGCCAGTGTAATCGGCCAGCACGCTTTACAAGATTTTGGGCAAACTGTACTCCAACTCATGCAATCACGTCTCAACCATCAGGTTATATCA